CTTTTTTGTCTTGGTTTTTGTTTGTTTGTTTTTGTGATTGTCTCAATGGGCAAGTATGTTATATTTTTAGTTGTAGTTCTCCAGAAAAGTTGGCAGTTGGTCTCCTTTAAGGTTATCTCCTTCCTCCTTGGCTACTCCTTGGTAGTGTCCTTTGCTGACTCCTCTTCTGTGCCCAGAACTGTGAATATCCTGGTACTCAGTCCTTGGTCCTCCTCGTTGTCCCCCACACCTATTACCACCAAGTCTTTCTTGGTTTGTGTTGGTGGTTGCTCTGTTGTTCAGGCCACAAACCTTGTAGAAGTCATTGATACCTCTCATTCTCTCATACCATACATCAATCCTTTAGAAAATCCTCTGGACTCCCTTCCAGATCAGCCACTGATCCCTTTATGCCACCTCCACTGTCACCACCTTGGTCCAAGACACCACCATTTCTTGCATAGAGTATATAATAGCCTCTTGGCAGATTAGCTTCTTTCCTTGCTTCTCTGTTCTCAACATACACCCAGTGTGATCCATTTAAAGCAAAAGTGACATGGTGCTGCCCTTCCTTTCAAAACCCTCCAGTAGTTACCCATGTTATTCAGATTCCAAACATGCCAGACAGGCTCTCACGTGAGGGCCTTTCCTTCGTCTGGAAAGCTCTTCCCATCTTCATTCTTGTGGCCCATCCCCTCATCCCCTTCAAGTCAGACCTCACCTTTTCAGTGAGGCTTTACTATACAAGATAGTGCAGATACCATTTCCGTCATCGCAGAAAGTTCTACTGGCCTGTTCTGCTGTAGAATTTACTGATTTATTATGTTTAATGTTTATTCTCTGTACCTCACCTGCTAGAATGTAAACTCTACAAAGGCACAAACCTTTCTCTTTTATTTACTGATAGAAAAATCTCCTAAAACAGTGCTTACGCATAGTAGATGATCAATAAACATACATTTAATTACCATTTCACTTAAAGTATTTAAAATAATTGAATTTCTTTTTCAATTCATGGAATAAAAGTATTTACAGCTGACATTTTTTGAATGCTCATGTGCTGGGCCTGGCACCACCCTAAGTATATCATATAGCTTGTTTCATTTCATTCTTATCACAGCTCTGTGCACTGTGTGTGTGTGTGTGTGTGTGAGAGAGAGAGAGAGAGAGAGAGAGAGA